ATGGGACCTGCCTTACAAAAGGTCATGCCCTCTCCTTGGGATCAGCCTTGCATCAAATGATTGGTCAATATGGGGTTTTAGGAACTTAGCCTTTTCCCCCAGGCACATATGAAGGGTTAACTCAGCTCTAGGACTCCCTGTGTGATCTCCTCAGTCCCCTGTTGCCATTGTAACAGTTCAGTTTCCCTTTCTGCCCTATGCTGCTCTCTTCACTTTCTTATAAATCTTGTTCCTAAGAGCACTCTTCAAGAAAACTCCTACAGATGCTTAATAAGCAAGACCACCCTTCATCTAGAACAGGCCCTAGTGCATAGTGGACACTCTACAAATGTTAGCCGAATCTATGGATAAATGAAGTTTTTAGTAGTATATTCTAATTTTCATACTGCTGCTAATGTCCAAATTAGGTGTGGTATTTAGAACAAAGATGACTGCTATAGTTTGTATATGTTTTGTGTTCTGCTCTAAATATCATGTTGAAATTTAATTCTCAGTGTGGTAGTGTTGGGAGGTGGGGCCTGGTAGGAGGTGTTTGGGTCATAGGGGTGGACCCCTCATGAATGGCTTGGTGTTGGCTTTGTGGTAATGAGTCAATTTTTTGTTCTATTAGTTCCTGCAAGAACTGATTGTTAAAAGAGCCTGGCACCTCACTCTCTTTCTTTTTCTTCTCTCATCATGTGATCTCAGCACACACCAGCTTCCCTTCCCCTTCTACCATACATGGAAGCAGCCTGAGGCCCTCACCAGATGCAGATGCTAGCACCATGCTTTGTGTTCAGCCTGCACACAATCATGAGCCAAATAAACCTCTTTTCTTTATAAATTACCCAGCCTCAGGTATTCGTTTATAGCAACACAAATGGACTAAGACAATGTAACTCTTAGAAAATTCAGCCTTCTTTAGTTGTATGACTGGGTAAAATATTTAATTTCTATGAATTTTTTTTCTTTGTCAGTATACTAAGGATAATACTACTGCATTTATTTTTAATTGCTGCTGTAATAAACTACCACAAATGTAGTGACTTTAACAGTACAGATTTATTATTTTATTGTTCTGTAGGTGTGACACACAGAATAACAGCCCTCTAAATATGTCTACATCCTTATCACCAGAACCTGTGACTATTTTGCCTTATGTGGTAAAAGAGACTTTGCAAGTGTGATAAAGTTAAGGATTCTGAGATGGGGAGATTATTCTGGATTATATGTGGGCCCAGTGTAATCACAAGGGGCTTTACAAGAGGGAAGCTAGAGGGTCATAGTCAAACAAGGAAAAGATGGAAGCAGAGGTTGGAGGGGTGCAATTGCTGGCCAGTGCTGACATCTTGATTTTAGCCTGGTAAAATCCATTTCAGAATTCTGACAACCAGAATTGTAGAATAATAACTTTGTGTTGTTTTAAAGCTACAAATTTTGTGGTAATGTGTTATATGAGCAATAGAAAATAAATACAATAGGTTAAATCTGACATGGGTATCCTGTGAAAATCAAGGTGTCAAACATGCTGCATTTCTTTCTGAAGGCTCTAGGAGTAATCTGTTTCCTTGTCTTTTCTGCTTCTAAATACCACTGGATCTTTAGATCCTGGACATATTCCTTCCTTTTCAAATTCAGCAACACTGCACCTTTCCTTAACTGACTACAACCAGGAAAGTTTCTCGACTTTTAAGGATTTGTGTGAATAGATTAGACCTGCCTTCCCATCTCGAGATCCTTAATTTAATCGCATCTTCAAAATATATTTTTGAATACAAATATTTTGAATATGTAAAGTAACATATTCACAAGTTCAGGAGATTAGGATGTGGACATCTTTTGGTGCTGGGGGGTTTGCCTTATTTTGCCTGCCACACCTACCTACCTTGTAAAGGATTAAGTGAGATGACATTGATAAAACATAAACAGAACATAATGCATTAACATATTCTTCCTCTCTGGAGATCAATTTCATATTTTAATTCCTCTTTGTCTGTTATGACATAATTGTTATACTATCTAAATTAAATATTATAGTGATTTGGTAGATGTTACTTTAGTTTAATTCATTGAAACTGTTAAGTATCTTTCCTGACTTCCTTAGCCATCTGAACTTAAATTAAAATTATTGGAGAAGTATGAGAATTACTGGGTCAAAATGATTTCAAATCCAAACTTTAGTTTTTACATGAGAACTAAACCTTATCCACTCAACAGATATTTACATAGCGGCTAGTATCTGCCAGGCTCTCATCAAGCACTGGGGGTCCAGTAACGAATAAATGGTTCTAGAATTCATGTAGATTCTAACTGAACTTGAAGGCAAATTGTCATTTTTCTCACTCCATGTTGAGTGAAACAAGCCAAACCCAGAAAGACAAATCTGACATATTCTCACTTATATGTGGGAGCTAAATTTTAAAACAATTGATCTCATGGAGACAGAGAGTATACTGATGGTCACTCCTATTTCTTATGTATATGATGGCAAATGGAATCATCAACATAAGAGAAAATTATTATTTGCTTAAGGACTACCTTTTTCTTTTGGTACTGTTTTAATTCTTGCTTTCCTATACCGCAGCTTATATTAAGTATACTTTTATTCAACTTCTAGATCTGTGGGTTCTCACAAAGTTCATGTTTGTACTAAATCATAAATTGGATATGTCATTAAACATATATTCAATTAGAGAAATAATTAAATTGTTAACCATGAATTTTGGCAGTTTACCAGTTCTGTTTTAGCTATTTTGAGGTCACATTTGTGATTATGAAGCCTTACATATGGCAATAGTCAGCAAAAACAACTGATTTAATCAATTGTGATTATATATAAAAAGATGCATGACCAAAACCTTTTACATGTATAACTGAATGAAAAAAGTATATTTTTATTCACTGAAAATAAAGTTGTTTTTAGAAAAGAAACTTTCCTTGCTTAGGAAAATAAATAAAGATATGTGACTTTAAGTCACTTGGAATTAGAAGGAAAAACACCAGGGAAAGGGGCCTGAAGAAGATTTAGTGAAAATGCTAGAGCAAAATTACTTTTTCGTGTAGAAAAAAAGATAATAAGCCAGAATTTGGGGTCTTAAAAGTAGCAATGAGAGGAGAAAGAGAGAGATGGAATTAAACAACATGGAGAAAATGCAGAGCTTAAACTGGCAGAATTGTTCAAAGAATTAAAAGAAACCCAAAATATCAAATACAAAGTTGTTTTCTTCCTGATCTCCACCTAAGCAAGCTTTCTGTAAAGTGTGTCCCTTCAACACATGGAATGGGGTTCTTTTTGGTTAAAGTTAAAGAAAGAGGGTTGAGGTCCTCATCTGAGCTAATACAGACCAGACAGGAAAGAACACCTTGATAACACAGAATCAAGACTAAAAATTCAGTAGAGGTGGTTCTGGAAAAGGAAAATTCCTGAACTTTCAAGGTAATCTTATTCCTGAGAGGTAGAATGAACCAAGCTGACTCTGGGTTACACAGTGTGACCTCAAGGTGCACAGCAATCATTTCTATATTACAAGCTGTATGACTTTGTTCAAATCACTTTGCCACTTTCAGTCTCAGTTTGTTCACCTACAAAAAATTGAATAAAAATAGGGCCCACATAAGTGGGTTGCTGTGGGAATTAAATATTATCATTGCAATTGTCCTTATGTTGCCATTACTACTGTTAGTCTTTTTCTTTTTCTTTCTTTCATCCCTAGAGAGTAGTGATTATTATAATAGTCCTGTTAAAAATAATGAAGATTCATGGGCATGGGGACAAAGAAGAATTGAGGTGGATATAAATAGAATTAATCTCTTTTTTCCCCTATTCATCCGAAATTCTTCAAAAGTAATCTATATTCACTGTCTCTTCTTCCTTGTTCCTATTCACTCATCAACCCTCTTGTCTTTCTGCTACCAATTACTATTCATTCTTAAAATGCTGCTCACATAAAGGATGTAAATGTGCCAATTGCCAAAATTAATTGATAGTGTCCCTCCTTATTTTCATTGTACCTTTTCTTCATTGACACTATTGATCACAGGCTCCTTCTTGAAATACTCTACACTCTTCTGTATTCACCTCTCCTGGTTCTCCTCATGCATATCTATTTCTTTTTGGTTCCCTTCATGAATATCTTTTCTTCCAAACACCATCCCCCCACCACCATTACCATCTCTACCGCCAAATATTATTATCTCTTTTAACTCCCACCCCCATCCCCGCCCCCACTCCTACCTAGGCTGAGAGCAGAGAAGCACAGCATCCGATACAGGTAGTTGGCTCGGTTCTCCACAATGACAGCTACAGGCACATTGAGGACCGTGTTGTCTGGGAGTGGATCAGGACTGAACTCAAAAGGTGTGGGGTTCTTGCAGCTGCACACACTCCCATAGCCCTCAACTTTGCTGCAGAAGTGTATGTGATGATGGCTCGGCTCTGTGCCTGCCCAGTGGCACTCTGCCTCTTCATCTGAGCTTGGCAGCACGTCTGTCTTCCTCAGGACTGGACACCCCCAGGAGGAGAGGGCAGGTGACTTAGAACGTTTCTCCCTGTGGATAGGACATCCTTTTTATCCCACGAAGGCCCAGGAATCCCTCCAGCCCAGGGAAGGGCCTCAGCAGAGCCTTGGCTGTGTCTTTAAGGCGGAAGGATTTACTGACCGCGCAGATGAGCACTTCGCTGGGCGGTCGGATCATTGAGAAATAGTACCATGGTCTCATCCTCCTGAGGCGAGCCGGTGCCAAACACATGGCCTTTGGCCTCGTTGAGGTGACGTGGCTGCTCCGACCTTGCTCCCAGGCCTCGTCCTCCAGCACCGTGGTGCCATCCTGGACCTGCCGGGACCGCTGCCTCTGTGCCTGGGGGCTCCAGGTGGCCTAGAGCCTCGTCAGAGTCTTGCTCTGACCCTGGGTCTTCATTGGCTCCACTGATTGCTCGGCGAGTGTCCAGGGTCGACTTAATGTTGACAGTGGCAGTCACCAGCAGGAAAAGCACGGCCTCTGTAGAGCCTCGTCAGAGTCTTGCTCTGACCCTGGGTCTTCATTGGCTCCACTGATTGCTCGGCGAGTGTCCAGGGTCGACTTAATGTTGACAGTGGCAGTCACCAGCAGGAAAAGCACGGCCTCTGCCTGACAGAATCTCCTCGGGGCCCGCTTGTTGTCAGTTTATGCTTCCAGGTAAGATTCCAGCTCCTCTTCTTCCGAGCCCCAAAGGGCTTCATGAGGGGGGTGGGCTTCCAGTTGTCCATGCCGGACTCGGGGGTCACCGATGTCCTGGCCAGCCCTCGACGTCAGGAATAGCCCAGGTCCCGCTCCGGCCGCACTACCCGGCCTGGCACCGCGGCCTCATCCTCCTCCCTGCCGCTCACGGCCCCGCCCCCCTCAAAACTCTGAGTAATTTTTAAAAATTTACTTAACAAGTGCCTTCAGAAACGCTATGGAATCCTGGGCATGGTGAGAATTTCCTTTTAGAAATATTTAAATCGTTTCAATTCCAATTACCTCAAACCATGGCCCTATAATACAATATAAAGCCTCCCGGCAGCCATTAGGCTGTGTCAGCCCTTCACACACGTGCACGAAGCTCCTTTCCTCCTTCGCGTGTGGCTCCACTGTCTGGATAGCTCCTACTTCATCAGCTTACATCTTAAATTTCACTACTTTCAATCTATCTTTAAAACTTGTAATCTAAGTCAGGCTTCCACCTACCCCATAATATTTTCACATGGTACCTCATCGATTTTCTTCTCAGCCACAGTTTACAATTTATAGACATATTTGATTATTTATTTAATTAGCTTCTTCCTCACTATTAGTTCCATTGGATCAGAGGCTCTGTCTGTGTAGTTCACCGATGTTCACTGTATTGATGGCACAGTTTAACTAGTACTTTGTACTTTGTTGAGTGCATAGCAGTTGCTCAAAATTGTTGAATAGATAAAATCCCTGTGAGGTGGAGACTCAGAAGGAAGAAGCAATGGTAGCTAGAATAATAGAAATTTAAGGCAGGCTTACAAGGCACGTTTTGGCACAGGAAAAACTGAAGGCCAGTTCTCAGAAATCGAATCCAAGGGCAGGGCCAAACTAGGACCTGTTTAAGTTTGTCCTTTACAAGTAGACCAGTCTCTAAGAGTGAGTGAGAAGGCAAAATGAATATTTGCTTTGAGATTATTCTCCCATGTGAGCTTGGCGAAAGAAATGCCCACGTAGATTTGAGACTGGGTGATTATGCATGAAAGCTATGGGTGCACATCTGACCAAAAGAACTCAATGGTTTACTTAGAGAAAAGCATACAGAATTAAGTGTTATAATGGCATTTTATGTATTAGGCAGCCAGCATTTGGTCATGCAGTGTGTTTCACAGAAATCATCCTAGCCCAAATTAACAAAGAAAGGACAGATTGTTTAATAAATAGTTTTCAAAAACTAGATCACTCTATGGAGAAAAATAAAACTGAATTTCCACCTAATCCTACAAAGTTGGATTTCAGGTAGATTAATCCTGTAGAGTTAATAGAATAGAATATAAGATATATAAATATATCTCCTATATATATATAAAAATATATAAAATATTTTTGTTAGCTAAGGTTAAGGGAAGATGTTAAAAAACTTTAAAAGTATAAATCATGAGGCCAAAAAATTAAGTAATTTGATTATATCAAAATTGAAGATTTTTAAAGAAATTATGGGGATCTTGAACAAAATTAACAGCTATAAGAATCTGTTATTTACAATACCTAAAACTAAAAGAGACACATATCAACAACACATAAGGAACTTTGCAAATAAATAAGAAAAATACAAAAGAAAATCTACAATGAAACATAGGCAAGGTAGGAACAGACTATTTACATAAAAAGTACCCAAACAGTTGTCAGACATATAAAGGATATTCAATACCAAGTCCAGCTGGGATAAATGAAATATGGTAGATATACTACAGAATATGATGCAACAGTTAGAAGGCACAGCCTGGCTGTATACAGCAACATGGGTAGAATTTATGAAACAATGTTGTGTGAAAAAATAATAATGACAAAAAATGACGGGCATGTAGTATTTACTATGTATCAGTTACTGTTCTGAGCCCATAACAACACTGTGACATATTATATCCACATTTTACAGATGGAGAAACTGAGATATATAAGGTCACATAATTAGTGGATGTTCTAGGATTTGAACTTGGGCAATCTGGTTGTAGAATTCTTGCTTTGAAGCAGTCACTGTATCCCTAAGAACTACAATAAGAGCTGTAATGGAAAGAAAATTTTTTTAATTATGCATATCAAACTATGATACATGTTTTTGTAGGCTACATTAATATTAAAGGTATCAAAGCATATTAGAATAGAAAAATGGAAATTATTAAATAAATACATCAAGAAAGGATTCTTGCACAGTACAACATTAAGTGTGCCAAAATATAGGCATAGGATTAATTTAACTCCTTGGAAAAATGAGAGTAAGTAAATTTAACTTATAAAGATTTTATACTTAAACACGGTTTTTCAAGCATTAATATAAGAAAAGGCCAAGAAGCAGTTCCAGCAATAACTCTAGACACAGTAGCTGGTATAAGGTGTAGATGCTGATGAATAAAAAATGTGAGGCACAAAGAGAAAAAATCAGAAAGTGGAAGAAGTGGAAGAGGAATCATCAAGATGGTAACAAAAGAATATTCTTTTAGCCACTTTGATGAGAAGGATTAGGACTTTTTGTTCCTCTTGTCCTGGTACACAACACCGAGGAGTTCACAGTTGAGGACTTGAACATTTTACCTACCTTAGTCAGAAGTCAGCTTTCTGTAATTTGGCTAATGAGGAGCACCAAGAGCTGGATTTCTTATCTCTTCTGTACCTAACTTAAACCTTTTAACATAAACTCTGTTCTTACTGAATAGCCATAAATTTAGTTCAAATAAAGAATTGTTTTCTGTTTGGATTCTTAAAGTATGCCTGATAAAAACATGGGCTTTGATATAAGTCCCCAAATCACAATGATCAGAGAATTGGAAACATAAAACTCACAGAACAAAATAAAATAAATCTGGGGATATTTTTCATTCCCCAATTTTATGTAATGCAACTGGAGATTAGCAGTGGGAACATCTGTGTCAGACTTGGAGCCAGTAAAATGCAAGGCAAATGGCAGGGCCTAAAAGAGAGCATGACCTTGTTTGGAGGTGCCCATGGTTGCTTGTGTCTCTTACAAGCAGAGGTAGGTTATTAGATTAAATTTAAAGAGTGGCAAGTAAGCTACCTTATAAGGACAATAACTGTCCTCAGAATTTTTCTTATTAGTCTCCTGAATCACCTTTTGCTTTCTTCTAAAAGAACTGAGGGTCTTTTGGAACTGCTTTCTTCCACCTTAACGTAAGTTAAAATATTTGGTCTGCTAAAATTTTTAAAAAATCTTCATACAACAGATGATAAGAGGGTAAAGGGATCTTAATTTTTCCTTCATATTTTCCAACTCTCTCCCTGTTATTTCTAATATGAGTGCTAGCTAATGAATGGTGGATGGGTCTGAGGAGGCTATATGATCTATATATCTACAGTGGAAATTAGTATAGGAAACACTTCTCACATACTCTGCATTCTTGGGATAATCATGCTATTGCTGTTTTAAATATACAACCTATGCTCTTTTGCTTTTCTGTCTCTGCTCTTCATTTTCTCCTCCTCTTATAAGTCTCCCTGTCTATCTCTACCTTATACAATTTATTCTTTTCCTTGAAGCTGCCTCCAGACCCCACTATCTTGACTATAGTTTTCCAAATCTGTTCATCCTAAATTAAATCTTACCACCTCTGAGTTTCTATAGAGCTGTGTTTTAATTCTATTCTGTCACCTGTCACTTCTTCCTAGGACTATAGTAATCTGTGTATACATGTTTTGCTCCCCTATCTTGTTCATCTTTGCTTCCCTTATAGTGAATGTTTGCACAGGGTAGGTTCTCAATGAGTGAATATTGAATTGAATTAGAATGTTTCAAACATAGTGAGTGTAGTTTTTTAGCAAGCTAAATCTAATGGTCCTATATAGGGTGAATTGGAGACTGAGAGGTCACAGAGTTAGAAAAAAATGTTTACAAATACATTGTGATCTTAAGGCATGAAGCAATAAGGGTTCAAAAGGACAGTGGCTGTGTACAGGAGAGAAAATGGTGATTTGTGGGGAGATACTGGAGGAAAAATGCTAGATTGTTATGGATGATGATGATGGTGATGATGGTAGCAATGAAGATGATAGCTTATATTGTATAGTGGTTTACAGTTTATGTAGATGATTTCAGAATTATGTATGCTGATCTGACTCCTGGGAATCAAGTGAAGTGATGTGATAAATAATTATGTGTTAAAGTGATGCATGGCATTTTTGTATTTTTCCCAGAAAGGCTTGTTAGCTTCAAAGTTGGAAAAGATAAATAGCATAGAATGTGTTGACAACTTAGAATTCAGGTTAATCATGGCAATTTAAGAGTTACTGCGCTTCTCCTGCTCATCAGGGGGTAGTCAGAAGATTTATCCAAGGAACAGTCTTAGAAATTCATTATAACAATTCCCTAATAATGAATTTCAAATACCAGTGTTATTTTTAGCAAACATTTATTTAACTCCCATGGATTTTGTGGGAGCTGTATTATCCCTCCTGAGGAATGGAGACAGAGCAATAGTTCTTCTCACCTGGGGAGACATTGGCTTCCTGCTTGTTACATATTTGTGCAAAGGCTAAAGTGAATGTCTTTGCCTTCAGAGAGCAAAGGGCACAGGAAGTTTTTAAGAGAATGCTATTGGGTCACTTACATTTGTACCATAGGAATGCAGAGCTATAAAGAAAGCTGACTGCAGAAACCTTAGGAACCAGGGTACTCTTATTATTATAGAATTACATATTTTGGAGTGTGCTGACAAATGTCTGTCTATCCTTTTAATCAGATTGATTGGAATACACAGCACCACATGCTTAACAGGTAAAAAATGAAGAAATTTAATGTGTGTACACCTTTAATTGAATTAGTTATATTTTTTGTTCTTGTTTTTCCCTTCAATTTTCACTTGTGGAAAGGGCTTGAACTTTGTCCTGTTGTGGGACAGAGAAGAATTATATTATTTTGAGATATACATTGGTGCTAGGCACCATCTGGGTCCCACTTTCCTCTTTATGACCAG